GATCTTCAGCGAGCACTTCAATTCTTCATCTCCACGCCCAATGTCGGGATCTGCTACTCCACTATCCCAACCTCATCCTTCAATCTCGTTGGCTATGTGGACGCTGACCATGCCGCTGACCCCGACAATCGACGGTCCAGGACCGGCTTCCTCTTCCGCCTCGAGCCCAGTGGCCCCATCTCCTGGAATTCGCAGAATTAGGAGCTGGTTGCCCTGTCATCAATGGAAGCTGAATTCATCGCAACAACAACAGCTGTTTGCGAAGGACTCTACCTCCAGGAGCTGCTGCAGGAGGCGAAAATTCCTGCCTCGGCAAATTTTCGCCTGCACTATGACTACCAGAGCGCGATCAGGATTGAGAACAAACCTGGTTTCGTCAACCGCACCAAGCACATCATACTACGATACTTCTTCGTCAAGGACGAAGTTGACAAGGGCAAGGTTGACCTAACCTACTGTCCGACAGGTGACATGGCAGCTGATTTCCTCACAAAGAAGCTGCCGCGTCAGCAGTATCAACATTGCTCCGAACTCAGCGGAGTAGTCAAGCAGGTCAAGGCTCGATACGGCCAGGAGTGAAGGGGGGTGTTACGAATAGTAATTATTGAACCACTACTGTGCACTCCGTACCGCAACAATCGAGGCACGTACTACTGAGGATGGGAAGTAACACGAAGGGACGTACAGTTACGAAACGATATGGACCGTCGGGCAGATAGCATCAGGCAGCAGCAGTGACGAGGATTCTGCCCGAATGGTTTCGTAACTGTCCGGAGTCGCACGGTTAAGTTTTGCTGCAATAAGGGAATGTACCCCTTAGAGTACATGGCTAGCTAGGTCGTTTTGTATTCCTCTGTACGCATATTTATATTCCTTGCACTTGCATGTTCTAATCATCTCAAGCATTTTACATTCACTCTGCTATTGAGGTCAAGGGCCCACCACCACTACTCAATCTTGTGCAAACCTTCCTGAGGTGATCCTAGGGACGATCAGCTTTTCATCGCAACACATGGTACGCCACGCTGCTCAACGTCATGAAGGCCAAGAAGAAGCCCATCAGCGTGTTTCTAACTCACCTGCCCCCCTTCCTCCCCTCTCACCTACCTCCTGAAACTTGTTCTCCACAATACTGATCTACGCTGAATGAGCCACGGTACGCCACGCTCCCCAACATCATGAAGGCCAAGAAGAAGCCCATCATGAGCAGAAGGCTAAGGCGACACCAACTAACTACACGCGCAAGTACTACCACCACTGTAGGTGTGAAGGCTACTGGTGCAAGCAACCCAGCAGCAACAGCATCAGCCGCAGCAGCTCCCCTCACCCTGAAGGCAGGTGGTATTTGCGGGTCTGGAAATCCCAGACCGGCCAGCAGTGCGGCAACAAGGAGGGCCACAGCAGGAGCGACGACAAGTGGCATTCCCAAGTGAGGGAAGTTAGCAGCCAAGTGTTGAAGTGGGAAAAAAAATTAAAAAAATTGAAGGTAACAGCAAGAGCAGCATCAGCAGTAGCAGATGAGATCCAGGGCGGGTTAATTAAATTGTGAAGGGACGTGGTGGGTGGTGGGTGAGATGGCATGGCTGGTGGGGGCTAGAGGAAGGTGCATGGAGAAACATACCCCTTTTTCCACCCTGCTTGCAGGGTGTCGTGGGAGAGATGGGAGGAGAATGTGGTGAGCGGGAATGGGGAAGGCACGGCATGAGGGGGAGGAGCATGCCCTTGGATCCGCTGTTGCATGGCATGAAATGGCGTTATGTCGGATCTGGCTCTTGAGATGGAATTCTGTTAAATCCGTTGCTGCTCAGCTCTTGAGTGCCCTTGCATCCGCTGCTGCACCGTGCACCTGCTAGGCTCTTGAATAGTGGCAAGTTATGGGTTATGTTCTAGGTATGTAGTTTGTAGTCATTATGCTACATCTGACGTTGCTGTTGATGTGGATTATGTGCTTATGTGTGTGAGTGGTTGGTGCAGGAAGCGGAAGGAATGGTTGTTGGTTGCATTCGTGTGGTGACGGGTGAAGAAGGGAGAAGTGACTTGATGGTTGATGCACTGATTATGTGATTCTAGGGGAATGATAATGCCGACTTGATCAACAGCCGTATTTTCTCTTGCCCCTCTCCCTCCTTGCATCTCTTGAGATATGAACAGTTTTTATGCTTGAACCAACCCAGGATTCGGTTTCTTCCATCCATTCTGATCACCACGTGCTGCTTGGAGGTATTTCATTTCACTTTTGTAGCCTCCAGTTTCTTTCAACATTTCCTGCCAGAGTCATCAGCTCACGGCGCATTCACTATCTTATTCTGATTTCATCGCATTCTCATTCGTCTACCTCTCATGCCATTCACATCACATCAGCTCGTGATGCCTTTCATTGGTTCATGCTAGTCTCATGAAGCAGGAAGAGTGGTGGAGCAGGGGTATGGAGAATGCTCATGCTCACTTGCTTTCTATGAATCCCGTAAGTCCTTTCCCTTCAAGTTCTGCTAATGAACCTCATCAGCTGATTTCCTTTTTGGTTTACAAAACATTTCCCTCTTTGCCTTTTTCAGCACCCTTTTTACCATGCTTGCATATTCCCTCCCCTCCTTCCCCTTTTCAACAAATCAACCTTCACCACTATTCACCCTTCCACACCAGTAAGGTAGATTCTCTCAAAATCGCCCCTCGAGGCATAACAGCTCTGGTTTGAGAGAGTCTAGGGTAGGACGAACATGCTTTTGCTGCACGTTTTTGTAATGTAAACCCATCTTCCCTCCTCCTCGCCCCCACCTTTCACACATCCATGTTGCTTCCTCCAACCCTCGCTTGAGTATCTGACGATTCGCCATCACTTATGTTGTGAGCTGTTTCGTTTGTTTATTATATTTTCCCATCAACTGATGACTGACAAGTTCTTAGCCAGCATCTCATGCCTTTAGCCAGCGAATATGCTTTCACGTATCCCATGCCACAAACCACGGATGACACAAAGCCAGGATTACGCCCTCAGTTTCTCATGCCAGTTTCATCACCTTTGGATGCATTATAAAATTCTTGTCAGATTCATCAGCTCATGTCATCATGCTTTCACCTTCTCTGTTTCTTACGGCAGCCTTACCAGCAGCACATGATGTTTTACTATCTCATTTTGATTTCATCAGCCCATCATTCTCACACACCATCCGCATCAGCTCATAGTGCTTTCAGTAGCTAATGCCTTGCAATATCTTCTTTTCATTTTTTTCATGCATTGAAAAAGGAATTATATTTCCATTCCGTCCTTGTTGCAATGCCAGTCAATGCTCATGATTCTAGTGCCTCTTCCTCTGCCTCTCACTCTGCCTCTCGCTCCGTCATTTCCAACATTCTTTCTGCTCTGTGACAACAACTTTCCTACTTCCTGCCGTTTCGCCTCCTTCCCCATCTCAACCAATCAAGCTTCAACACTTATGCTCTCCACACCCCCACAAGCTTCAACTTTTTTTCCGGATTCCCTCTGACTGCTCTGACTTTATGAGACTTGTGGGTAGTAGTAAGTACTTTCCTTCTTACTCTGCAAATTTTGCTAAAATAATAATTTCTCTTCCACGGTTCTCGGCCCCATCATCTGTTTGCTCTCCATGTCACTTCCTACTCTCATCCCTCGTCGCTCCCTCATACCTCTTTCTCATCCCTCTAGCACAGTTTGCCATTACCAATGTTTCAAATAAAATGCAGCGTTGCGTAGCAGCAACATCATTTCATGGTGCCACCAACAGCGGTCCATGATGCCTCTGGAATTGCATGTCAATTTTGGTGCGAGAAGGGAAAAAAGAAGGCTGTTGGACTTGCATAACAGCAGTGGGCTTTGCTTGGCAAGGGCTAAGGAGTTTTCAGTTCAGAGGCAATCGTTCGAAGGGATACATGATCTATTAGAATGGTCCAAGTTACTAGCGGAAGCTATAGTAGTCTTAGAACCTCCTCCTAAGGCCTAGGAGCCAACTTGGGCATGAACCATGCTAGAACCAAAGGGATTTCCAAGAAGTGAAGTTCCAACAAAAGAGAACCCTAACCTATAGGGTTTGGGAGGTGGTCCACTCTAAAGAGTGTACACAAGTTCTCCCAACCCAGCCAATGTATTCTACACTACTATAATGTAGATCTACCACTACATATGTTTATTGGAGCAATCCGAATTAACCTTAATTCCAACAGGCACGCGACGGAAGGCGGAGGAGCAGAAGCAGGCGGAGGAGGCGGAGGAGGCAGAGAAAGAGGGGGAGAAGGGACGGATGCTCTACAAACAAAAGGAGGTTTGCTGGATATGAACGGGAATGGAGTGCTTGCGCCGGAAATTCGCGCGTGTTTGGGTCGCATTGAAGCGAGGTTTGGCGGAGGGGGAATGGCGGTTGAGGCGATTGAAATTTGGGTGGATTCCCAGGGGTTCAGGAGCGGTGCCAAGTGGTGAAAAATGATTGGATAAGGTGAGCACCTCGACGGCTGTGGGTGTGGTTGACGGGGCGAGCGAAGCAGGCGAAGTCAAACGAACTCTGATTGCGGAAGCGGAGCATCTGAGGGATGCGGCGGCTGTATCCGCCACTGGCGAAAATTGGCTACCAGGTAAATTGTCGGGTCCTCTTGAGAAGCAGCAGGCGCAATCAAAGGTCGCTCTTGCTCGGGGCCTGGAGGCCTGGGCTGGTACTAACGGGGATGCTCTTAAAGGAGCGCTGCTGCAACTCTTGGAGAAGGCACGGCTGGAAGGAGGAATCCAACGGCTGGAAATCGATTTTGAGCGGAAGATCTGCGACATGAAGGAGGAGATGGAGCGAGCGGTGAGCGGCGAGGGGAGGAAGTGGGAAACTGAGTTGGACCGGATGGTGAATCTGCTTATAACGGAGGCGGCACATAGGCAATAGCTTGAAGAGGAGATTAAAGCCGTGCAGGACCAGTGGGTGAAGAAACTCGAGGAGGCACGGGCGCAGCAGCACGTGCAGCAGCTAGAGGAAATGGCAAGAGTGAGGAGGGAGATGGAAGAGATGAGAGAGCAATGGCAAGCGCAGCAGGCGCAAGCGAACGACGCGCTGAGGGCAGAGAAGGAAGCGGTGAGGAAACAGATGGAGCAGATGCGCGAAGAGTGGTGCGTGCAGCAGGCACAGGCAAACAAGGCTCTGATTGGTCCAATGGAGGAGATTCGCGAGGAGTGGAGAGCTACGGGCCTGGGCGGGAGGGTGATAAGCCCGGAGGAGCGGTTGGACGGGGTGGAGAGCGGTGAGCAGGACATGGAGAGCCGGATTGTGCAGAAGGTGTCGGAAATGAGGGTAGAGGCTGGGCTGGAGGTGGATAGGGTTGAGAAGATCGTTAGTGAGAAGGTGGACGGGCTGAAACAGGAGCTAGAGGGGAAGATTGAGGGGAGTCAGCAATAGGTGGAGCAGTTGGAGGAGCTTTGGATGGGTGCGGATGTGCCAGGGATGGTTGCGCGGATTGAAACGGGGGTGAAGTGTAATAAGATTGTGATTGAAGCGGTGGATAGGCGCGTGAGGGAGCAGGCGGAGGGGCAGGAGAGGTAAATAGAGGAGGCGGAGAGGAAAGCGAAGATGGTTGAGGAGAGTGTGGAGGAGAGAGTGAGAAAGGTGGAGGAGAGTGTGGGGGAGAGAGTGGGTAAGGTAGAGGAGAATGTGAAGAAAATAGAGGAGAGTGTTGGGGAGAGAGTGGGTAAGGTAGAGGAGAATGTGAAGAAAGTAGAGGAGAGTGTGGGGGAGAGAGTGAGGAAGCTAGAGGAGAGTATGGGAGAGAGAGTGGTGAGATTGGAAGAGGGTATGGAGGAGAGGGCTAAGAGGGTAGAAGAGAGTGTGATGGCGGGAGTGAGGAACCTAGAGGAGGTGGTTCAGGAGGTGGAGAAACTTGAAGAGAAGGGCGTACAAGAGAGATTGGGAGAGGTGGCAGGTAGTATTGAGCAACGAGTGAAAGATATTGAGGGGATAATGGAAGAGAGGGTGCAGAAAGTAGAGGAGAGTGTGGAGGAGAGAGTGAGAAAGGTAGAGGAGAGCGTGGGGAAAAGAGTGAGGAAGGTGGAGGAGGGTATGGAGAAGGTGGGGGAAGCAGAGAATAGTTGTGAGAAGGGCGTAGAGGGAGCAGAAGCGAGTGTGGAGGAGCGAGTGAGTAGTATGGAGGGCAGTGTGGAGGAGCGAGTGAGTAGGCTGGAGGGGAGTGTGGAGGAGAGTGTGAGGGAGCTGAGGGAGAAGGTGGACGAAGTCGAAAGGCAGGCTGCGGACGTGGGGAGAGTGGTGCTGGAGATCAGCAAGGAGGTTGCAGAGCAAGTGAGATTCTTGAAGTCTCAGCAAGGCTTATCTCTGGAGAACGATGAAGCATTGACAAAAACCGTTGAAGGATCTGTGGCAGCTGCTGCTTCTGCACAGCAGCAGATAGAGGCGGTTATTGCAGTTGGAAGGGAGGTTGCTAAAGTAGCAGCAGAACTTTCCAAATCTGTCAAATATGCCAAATCTGGCGTAGGGAGCGAGGGGGAGGAGGGTGGGGCTGGTTTGCTGGAGCAGGTGGTTCTGATTGGTCGGGAGGTGGCGATTCCGGGAGCAGCAATAGCTGCGGGTGATAAGGAGCAAGAGGGAAGGAAGGAGGAGGTTGAGTGTCTTGAGGAGGTGGTGCTGATTGGTCGAGAAGTGGTCCGGGTGGCAGCAGAAATTGCCAAGGGTGCGAAAGACCAAATTCACGGAATCAAATCTGCAGAGGAAATCAAATCTTTGATTGCAGCTGAGCTGGCAGCGGCTGGTGTGGTGCAGCAGCAGCAGCCGGAAGTAGTGGCTTTGAACGAACCTTCCAAGAAGGTGGAGCATCTGCAGGAGCCAACAGCACCAGCAGCTTTGGGCGAACCTTCCAAGAAGGTGGAGCACCTGCAGAAGCTCCTAGAAGAGGAGCAGCACAAGGCTGACGCGGCAGCTGCTAACGTGGCATCCACGATCCAACAGCTTTCAGATAAAATCTCCACATTGGAGCTGAAGCAGGCGCATACCACGTCAGCAGCAGCATCAGCCGCGTCAGCAGCGTCAGCCGCTGTTGCAGTGACCCACGCTGCGTTTCCCTGTGCAGCGTCCATAGGGGCGAGTGTTCTGACCTCCCCTGGAGGCCCTAAGATGATCACAGCAGCGGCAGAGGCGGCGGCTGCGATTGTGGTGGACCGAGGGTGGGTGCAGCAGCAGCTGGCCGAGCAGGAGGTGAAGGTAAGGTGGCAAATGGGGGCTTTGCAACGAATGGCGAGTGTTGCATTGGAAAAGGCACATAAGCAGGCTGAAGAGAGCGCTGCGATTCTTGCAGCTGTGAAAGCAGCAGCAGGCGCAGCAGAAGCAGCAGGAGCAGGGGGTAGTGCAGGGGCGGAATGGGGGGCAGGGCAATGGGCAGTGGCAGGGGCAACGTCTGGATTAGAGGAAGGGGCAACTGAAGGGGAAGGGGCGGGGGCGGAGGCAGGAGAAGTGGCAGCGGCAGCAGCAGTGGCGGACAGAGGGTGGGTGCAGAAGCAGCTCGCAGAGCAAGAGGTAAGGTTTGAGAGGCGCGTGCAGGGGATGCAGCGGATAGCAGAGGGAGTGCGAAAGGGCCGCTACGGGCAACGGGGCGGGGCCGCGAAGGGGCCGTGAAGGGGCCGCTAAGGGGCCGCAAAGGGGCCGCGAAGGGGCCGGAAAGGGGCCGCTAAGGGACCGCGAAGGGGCCGCTACGGGGCCGCGAAGGGGCCGGGAAGGGGCCGGGAAGGGGCCGCTAAGGGAGTGCGAAGGGGCCGCTACGGGGCCGCGAAGGGGGGCCGCTAAGGGGCCGCTAAGGGGCCGTGAAGGGGCAGCGAAGGGGCCGCGAAGGGGGCCGCTAAGGGGCCGCAAAGGGGCCGCTAAGGGGCCGCGAAGGGGCCGCAAAGGGGGACCACGACGGGCCTCAGGAGCAGGGCAGGCCGCTAAGGGGCCGCGAAAGGGTAGGGCAGGTCAGAGCGCGAAGCGCAGTTCAGGCAGGGTAGGAAAAAAAAGATTAGATGGTGGGCCCTTAGGAAGAAACGGTCCCACTAGGGAACCCGCTCTGTCAACGGGAGCGTTGTAAGGCCCCGTCCTCGCTTGGGCGGAGCCAAACTTGTGGTCGGATGTGCGGGGGTTGCAGCCGACCTGCAGCAGTGGGCACGGGGGCCACTGCAAGGGCGCCAAGCTGGAGGGCGCCTGGCTGGAGGGCGCCAAGCAGAAGGACGCCGCCCTGGACGCCTGGTTAGCGTCCCAGACGCCTGGACAGGGTCCTGGGAAGCTGGACGCCGAGCTGGGCGTCGCCACGACTACCCGGGCGCCTGGTCGACGTCGTGGGCGCCTGCACGGCGTCCTGGGGGTCCAGACACCGACCTGCGCGTCTGATCGGCGTCCTGGGCGTCTGGACGCCGACCTTGGGGTTCGGAAGGCGTTCTGGGAGCCTGGACACCGGACTGGGGACGCCGGGCATGCGTGGCCGACTACGGACTGTGCTGGTCGGCCAGGCGTGGTTGCCCGGTCGACTGGAATGCCCGGGCGACGTGTGCGAGTGTCGCCAGGGTGGAGTATCCCGAGGTCGACGTGGCTGGTGGGCGCAGTCGCTGGCGTGGAATCTGCCAGGCGTCTGCGCTATGCTTCTGACAAGGTGTGGAGCGCCAACCAGCTGCGCGCATCTCCTTCGCAGGTGCACTGTTGTCCTGCGGGTGCAACGCTGTGCAGCCGACTTGCTGCAGCACTGGCACACCGTGGACTTGCAACGTTGGCGAACCGCTACTCTGCAACGTTGGAGCGGTGCGAGCGCTGCTGCGCTGGAGCGCGGTCGACCGTGCTGCGCTGGAGGTTGACCAGCAGCCTAGCTAGCACTGATGTAGTCTGTGATGCCAATATTGTTGCTACCATTATTGTCATGTTTTCCTAGTGAAACTCTTGCCAATTCTCCCCGTGAACTAGCAAGCAGCGTGAACACAAGGAAACGACTAAGTGAACGAACGCAGAGATCACACGACCATACGTGCCTAGCCCGTAGTCTAGCTCCCGTTGCAGCAGTTATCTCCGCATGGTGCGGTGAGCGTGGACAACACCGCGACGTAGTTCAGTCTAGCCGACTTACCGATCGTGTTCGTAGACCGGCAGCCGTGCAATCACTAGCGTGCGCGTAGGCGACGCCGAGGTGATGGACACCCTAGAGGGACGGCTGGAGGATGCGAGGAGACGCCATGAGGCCCAAGAGTACGGGGCGATACCCTGGGCAGTCGTCACGGCAGGACTCGGCTCCATGTGGGCGGCGGAGCACCCCCCTTCTCGGCCTGCCTCTCCTCGACTGGTGAACGACGATGGCGGCGTCGATGTGGGCATCAACGCCGGTGGAGGCCAGGTCGGCAGCAGTGCGGGAGACACGTCGAGGCAGCGAGGTGTGATTCACGCCGGTGAAGCCGGCGGCGTTCAGGCGCGAGGGATGCAGTCGACGGCGGCTGCAGGCTCCTCGCAGGGCGACGCCGGCGGGCGTCGAATTGGATTGTCACCAATGTCGGCGACCCAGGTGACGACGCGCGGGATTGCACTGAGCTACGGCTACTTCAAGTTTACGCCAGACAGGATCTCGGTCACCCCGCCGCTCGCTGGTCGACAAGACATCCTCACTTGGAAGGAAGCCATCGATCCCCAGCTGGAGATGGCCGGGCTGATCGGCTTCGCCCGAGGGACCGTGGCGACGCCGGGGGAGCACCACCCCGACCTGCGTGCGGAGTTTCGCGCCGTGCAATTGTTGACCTTCACGGTCATCTCGCGGTGCTGCTCGCTAGGCGTGCAGATCGCTTTGAAATGGTGCCGAGAGTACCTCGACGCCGGCCACCGGGCGTGGCACTTCATCGAGTCGACCTACCAAGTCACCGACGACTTGTTCATCGCTCAGCTAGAGGGACAGCTGACGCACCTGCGTATGGGCGACGAGGAGACGGCGACCGACTACTGCAACCGGGCCCGGCGAATACTCGCCACCATCAGGATGGCCGGCGCGCAGTACTCGACGGCGTCGTACGTCACCCACATCATGCAGGGACTCTCAAGCAGCTACAACCTGCTGAAGCGGCTGTCCATGGCGCCGAGCACGAGGGCGACTCTCAACGAGGACAACTTGACCTCGTATATCCTGCAGGACGAGGCGATGCAGAAAGCCGAGCAATCCTAGGAGCTCTTGGCGCAGGCCAACTTCGTCGCCCCGACGAAGCAAGGAGGCCGACCAGAGCAGCGTGGGCAGTCGAGCGGCGGCGGTAGCAGTGGCTGGAAGCCGAGCAAGGACGCCGACAAGAAGAAGTCGGCCAAAGACTGCGGTCGAGGAGGAGGAGGTCGACGACGGGAGTGCTGGCTGTGCGGCGACCCCGACCACCTCTCCTATGAGTGCCCCGACCGCAGTGACTCCGACGACGGCGACGCCAAGGGAGGCCGTGGGACGTCTGGCAGTCGTCGCCTTCGTCGAGGAGGAAACAAGCCGCGCAAGGAGAAGCAGTCGAGCAAGTCGGCCTCGGCGACGGACGCCGACTCCTCTGCAGGCGGCAAGGGGCGAGACGACAAGGCAGCGTCATGCTCGCTGGTCGGCGTCGTGGAGCGGACTGTCTCACTGGCGCCGGAGGCCGGTGAAGACTTCCAAGCGGTAGCAGCAGCTGTGCAAGCGAACCCAGCGGTGGTCCTGCTCGACAGCGGCTGCTCGCACCACTTGATGGGGACGAAGGAGGCCTTCGTCGACCTGCAGCCGAGCAGCTCCATCAAGCACGTGCGCGGCTTCAATGGGGCACTGCAAGACGTCCAGGGCCGCAGCACGGTCGCTCTGCAAGGGGAGGCCGAGAAGTAGGTGCTCATCCCCGACGTGCTGTACGTCCCGGGTGTGCGGGCAAACCTGCTTTCAGCCGGCCAGCTGAAGGAGCACGGCGTGAAGCTGCAGGAGGACGGTGACGGGATGCTACTCGTCTCGGCAGCAAGGGAGGTGCTCGGTCGGACGACGTACACCAGGCGTGTCCTCTGCACCGACCTGCGCCCCTACTCCGCCACGCCGACAACGCCTACAACGGAGATAGTGGCCCTGCGCGCGATCGTCTCGGCGACGAAGGCATCGCCGGACAGGATGCACGCAAGGCTTGCGCACGTCGGCATGGACACCATCAGGAACTCGGCGAAGAACGAGGTCGCCATTGGGCTAGACCTCAAGTCGGCGACGGGCGCCGACTCACCGTGTGTCTCGTGCGTCGGAGGGAAGTTGGCGCGGCACACCTTCCCCGACCAAGGTTCCGACGCCGACGACGTGCTGGCCGTCGTGCACATCGACCTGTGCGGGCCATTCCGCGTGGCTGCTAAGGATGTCAGCCTATACTTCTTGCTGCTGAAGGACCGCAAGACCCGCTACGTGTGGGTGAAGCTGGTCGCCAAGAAGTCAGATGCATTGCCGGTGTTCGTGCAGTGGCTGGCGGTGGCTGAGCGGCAGACGAAGAAGTCGGTGTTGATGCTGCGCTCTGACTGGGGAGGGGAGTTCCTCGGGAAGCAGTTCACCGACTTCGTGACCGGCAAGGGGATCGTCCACGATCTGACCTGCCCATACACCCCGCAGCAGAACGGCATGGCGGAGCGGGAGATGAGGACGGTGGTGGAGTCGGTGCGGACGATGCTGCTGCACATGGGCGTGCAGCACCACTGGTGGCACCTCGCTCTCTGGCAGGCCGTCTGGGTTTGCAACTGCCTTAAGAGGTCGGCGCTGCCGTCGGGGACGACGCCGTACCAGCTGCTGGCCGGGAAGAAGCCCGACTTGTCGCTGGCGCGGGTGTGGGGCTGCATGGCGCAGTTCTTAGTCCTCGAGCAGCAGCGTGGTGGGAAGCTGCAGCCGAAGGCAAGGTGGGGCCTTCACCTCGGCGTGTCGGAGGAGAGCAAGGGCTGGGAGCTCCTCGACATCTCCGACAACCGGGTGGTCACCACGTCGGACGTGGTGTTCTACGAGAGCATGTCGCTGGAGGTGTGGAAGTCAGCGCACGGGCCGGCGTCAGGGCGGATGCCGGTTCCCCGCCAACGGACACCTCGACGGCGACCCCACCTCTACTTGCCGAAGTCGGTGAGGTTGCTGGTGAGGACGCCGAGGACATCCCCGCTCCTTGCACTCCACCTGCCTCTCCCCTTGTTGCCGACTTGCATGGGCTGACCTTGCTGTCGGCCTCCGGCAATGAGGGGAGAAGGTGTTGGTGCAACCCTACGGTTTGCACTCGGCTTGTTGTCCGTGTGCGTGCATGTGTGTGTGTATGGAATGGTATGAGGGCATGGGATAATATATATTTCATGCTTATAATTGTGTGT